GAGCAAGGAAGAGGTGTCGGCGATGTGCGTGGAGTGTCGTGGACCGAACGTTGCTGCTGCTGCTGCTGCTGCTGCTGCTGCTGCTGTGGAGGAGGAGTGTGTGCAGACGGAGATTGACGACGAAGTTTTTGACCTGGTGTCGACGTTGCAGCTCGAGGTTGCCCATCTGCGTGAGGAAAATGCGGCGACGTTGGCGGCTCTGGAGCGTTCACAGCTCGAGTTGAGCATGAAACAGACCGAAGTGCAGGAACCGGAGTCACGTATGATGGTGAACGAGACAACTTGTTGGATTCCTTGTGAGACTGTGAGAAAGGCGCCCGATGTGGTTGTCCGTGAGTTGGCAGAGGTTGATGACACAGACAGAGTGGAGGCAGACGTGTTTGCCGGAGTTCCTGACATGCAGCTGGTGGAGACTGTTGCAAGCGACTCAGTGTCAGGCATTGTGCCTGATCGAATGGACAGGCAAACTACGGACTTGTGTGTTGAGGGCGTTTCGAACGAGGAAGTGGTCTTGCCCATTCACGCCACTCAGAGTTGGACGAAACCGCCGAGTGAACAAGACAATGACGATCCCGAACTTGCCCTGTTGAATACAGACAGCCTAAGAGCGCGATTGAAGGAGGCCATGAGCAGAATCTGCGAACTTGAGAATGCCAAGACAGAGTTGAGTGTGCGTCTGCGTGAGCTGGAAGGCGTTATGATGTGTGAAGATAAGCCGATGGATGTGATGCCTCTTAGTTCTCGTGTGCCTGACCGGTCGATGAAAGTGACGGAGGAAGCTGATGCACTGTGGAAGCACAACAAAGAGCTGATGACAGAGGTAGACTTGTTACGAAGTAAGATTTCAGAGCGCGTGACACTGTTGGACGATGTGTGCATGGAGATGGATGAGGTCAGAGGATCACTGGGTTTCTTGTTGAAGCAGGTGAGAGAATTGCGTGCAGCACATGCTGAGGCGAATGCTGACCGCGCCGAAATGGCGAACAGAATGAGTGAGTACGAACGGGTTTCACATCGCCTGTGCGAAACAGTTGGTCGATCCACGTCACCAGTGCAAGACATCGACTATGCACACGAAGGCTCGTCGACTGACCGTTGCACATCAGACGGGTTGCGAGAGGATTTGCAGCGTGCACTGGATACACAATCGTCCGAGCTGGAGGCAGTCACTGAGAAACTGAAAGAATGTGAGTCAATGAACAATGCCCTGATCTGTGAGTGTGAGTCGCTGAAGCGTCGTCTAGAGAGTTATATGACTGTGATTACTGACTTGGAGAATGATGTGACCAAGACGAAAGCACTGTTGGCGTTTGTGGTTGACCATATAAGAGGTCTGCGTTCCGACTATGGAGATTGGTGCAGAGAGCACGAACAACGAGTGCAGGAGTGTTTAGATGCCGTCACAACAGGGTTGTCCCATGGTGTGGTTGAACACGTGGACCGTGAGTGTGAGACAATGACATGGCCAGAACACTTGGAGTCTACTGTTATGCTTGATAGCTTTGTGCGACTACAAGAGTCTCATGAAGTGACGTCGATGCAGAGAGGCCAAGATTGGGATTCGGTAAGTGAGATGAGCAGACTGTGCGACCGGAACCGTGAGCTGTCTGAGGAGCTCTGCAAGTGTCGAGACCTGTGTGATAAGCAGGCATCTGAGATGGTGTTTATGCAAACAGCTCTTCGTCAGGCAGTCGAACAGGCGTCAACTGCCCGAGAGGAACTGGAGGCCTATAGACACGAGAAGGTTTGCGCAATGTCAGATCTGGAGAGTCAACTGTCTGCTTCTCGTGACGAGTGTTCTGCACTACGGGATCAAGTGTGTCGGCTTGAGACATCGATGGAAGAGCATTGCAACACTGTGTTGGCGATAGCCAGTCGAGACTGGGAGTCGCGCGTAAACGAAGTTGTGAGAGAACGCGACACAGCCATGAAAGAGTTGTTGGAACTGCGTAGTAGGTTGGATATGGCAGACGATGTGGACGCCAGTTTGGCAAAAACAGTGTACAGAAGTGACATGGGAACTGACGTGTTAGATCGTATGATTGAACGTGATATAGCTTTGTCATCAGGGTTCACCAGTGATACGAGAGAGACTGTGAGCGTGGGCGTTGGTAAAGATGCAGAGGACGACGAGTTGAATTGCATGGTTGTTGACGGTTGGAGCGACTACTCCTCAGAATGCATACACGACGAGCACAAGCCTAGTGTGTCGGTTGGTTCTCCGACTAGACTTGTGAGTGTGGCGACTCAAGCGACAGACAGCGTGTCTTGGTTGGCTACTGACACATTGTCAACTTCAGGATTTACCGATCAGTCGACCGTAGATCAGTCGACCAGGAGTCCAGTGGAGATGACGAGAGAGAAGCTAGTGAGTTCAAGTTTGTGTGAAGATGAGTCGAATGTGGTTGGTCAACTGCGCGAAGAGTTGACGTCTTGTTATGAACAGATAGTGAAGCTGTCTAGATCGGTGGAGGAGAGTGATGCTTCGTTGATGGATGTCCGGCGTTTGTTGACTGTGAAGGAGAGTGAAGTGGCGGATCTGAGAGAGGAGAAGCGTCATTTACGAGACGAATTGAATGAGTTGAGGGAGACTGTAGAGTCAGAACGACGTGATTTGGACATAATGCGTGCAAATATGGATGTGTTGGAGAGCAAGGAAGAGGTGTCGGCGATGTGCGTGGAGTGTCGTGGACCGAACGTTGCTGCTGCTGCTGCTGCTGCTGCTGCTGCTGCTGTGGAGGAGGAGTGTGTGCAGACGGAGATTGACGACGAAGTTTTTGACCTGGTGTCGACGTTGCAGCTCGAGGTTGCCCATCTGCGTGAGGAAAATGCGGCGACGTTGGCGGCTCTGAGCGTTCACAGCTCGAGTTGAGCATGAAACAGACCGAAGTGCAGGAACCGGAGTCACGTATGATGGTGAACGAGACAACTTGTTGGATTCCTTGTGAGACTGTGAGAAAGGCGCCCGATGTGGTTGTCCGTGAGTTGGCAGAGGTTGATGACACAGACAGAGTGGAGGCAGACGTGTTTGCCGGAGTTCCTGACATGCAGCTGGTGGAGACTGTTGCAAGCGACTCAGTGTCAGGCATTGTGCCTGATCGAATGGACAGGCAAACTACGGACTTGTGTGTTGAGGGCGTTTCGAACGAGGAAGTGGTCTTGCCCATTCACGCCACTCAGAGTTGGACGAAACCGCCGAGTGAACAAGACAATGACGATCCCGAACTTGCCCTGTTGAATACAGACAGCCTAAGAGCGCGATTGAAGGAGGCCATGAGCAGAATCTGCGAACTTGAGAATGCCAAGACAGAGTTGAGTGTGCGTCTGCGTGAGCTGGAAGGCGTTATGATGTGTGAAGATAAGCCGATGGATGTGATGCCTCTTAGTTCTCGTGTGCCTGACCGGTCGATGAAAGTGACGGAGGAAGCTGATGCACTGTGGAAGCACAACAAAGAGCTGATGACAGAGGTAGACTTGTTACGAAGTAAGATTTCAGAGCGCGTGACACTGTTGGACGATGTGTGCATGGAGATGGATGAGGTCAGAGGATCACTGGGTTTCTTGTTGAAGCAGGTGAGAGAATTGCGTGCAGCACATGCTGAGGCGAATGCTGACCGCGCCGAAATGGCGAACAGAATGAGTGAGTACGAACGGGTTTCACATCGCCTGTGCGAAACAGTTGGTCGATCCACGTCACCAGTGCAAGACATCGACTATGCACACGAAGGCTCGTCGACTGACCGTTGCACATCAGACGGGTTGCGAGAGGATTTGCAGCGTGCACTGGATACACAATCGTCCGAGCTGGAGGCAGTCACTGAGAAACTGAAAGAATGTGAGTCAATGAACAATGCCCTGATCTGTGAGTGTGAGTCGCTGAAGCGTCGTCTAGAGAGTTATATGACTGTGATTACTGACTTGGAGAATGATGTGACCAAGACGAAAGCACTGTTGGCGTTTGTGGTTGACCATATAAGAGGTCTGCGTTCCGACTATGGAGATTGGTGCAGAGAGCACGAACAACGAGTGCAGGAGTGTTTAGATGCCGTCACAACAGGGTTGTCCCATGGTGTGGTTGAACACGTGGACCGTGAGTGTGAGACAATGACATGGCCAGAACACTTGGAGTCTACTGTTATGCTTGATAGCTTTGTGCGACTACAAGAGTCTCATGAAGTGACGTCGATGCAGAGAGGCCAAGATTGGGATTCGGTAAGTGAGATGAGCAGACTGTGCGACCGGAACCGTGAGCTGTCTGAGGAGCTCTGCAAGTGTCGAGACCTGTGTGATAAGCAGGTATCTGAGATGGTGTTTATGCAAACAGCTCTTCGTCAGGCAGTCGAACAGGCGTCAACTGCCCGAGAGGAACTGGAGGCCTATAGACACGAGAAGGTTTGCGCAATGTCAGATCTGGAGAGTCAACTGTCTGCTTCTCGTGACGAGTGTTCTGCACTACGGGATCAAGTGTGTCGGCTTGAGACATCGATGGAAGAGCATTGCAACACTGTGTTGGCGATAGCCAGTCGAGACTGGGAGTCGCGCGTAAACGAAGTTGTGAGAGAACGCGACACAGCCATGAAAGAGTTGTTGGAACTGCGTAGTAGGTTGGATATGGCAGACGATGTGGACGCCAGTTTGGCAAAAACAGTGTGCAGAAGTGACATGGGAACTGACATGCTAGATCGTATGATTGAACGTGATATAGCTTTGTCATCAGGGTTCACTAGTGATACGAGAGAGACTGTGAGCGTGGGCGTTGGTAAAGATGCAGAGGACGACGAGTTGAATTGCATGGTTGTTGACGGTTGGAGCGACTACTCCTCAGAATGCATACACGACGAGCACAAGCCTAGTGTGTCGGTTGGTTCTCCGACTAGACTTGTGAGTGTGGCGACTCAAGCGACAGACAGCGTGTCTTGGTTGGCTACTGACACATTGTCAACTTCAGGATTTACCGATCAGTCGACCGTAGATCAGTCGACCAGGAGTCCAGTGGAGATGACGAGAGAGAAGCTAGTGAGTTCAAGTTTGTGTGAAGATGAGTCGAATGTGGTTGGTCAACTGCGCGAAGAGTTGACGTCTTGTTATGAACAGATAGTGAAGCTGTCTAGATCGGTGGAGGAGAGTGATGCTTCGTTGATGGATGTCCGGCGTTTGTTGACTGTGAAGGAGAGTGAAGTGGCGGATCTGAGAGAGGAGAAGCGTCATTTACGAGACGAATTGAATGAGTTGAGGGAGACTGTAGAGGCAGAACGACGTGATTTGGACATAATGCGTGCAAATATGGATGTGTTGGAGAGCAAGGAAGAGGTGTCGGCGATGTGCGTGGAGTGTCGTGGACCGAACGTTGCTGCTGCTGCTGCTGCTGCTGCTGTGGAGGAGGAGTGTGTGCAGACGGAGATTGACGACGAAGTTTTTGACCTGGTGTCGACGTTGCAGCTCGAGGTTGCCCATCTGCGTGAGGAAAATGCGGCGACGTTGGCGGCTCTGGAGCGTTCACAGCTCGAGTTGAGCATGAAACAGACCGAAGTGCAGGAACCGGAGTCACGTATGATGGTGAACGAGACAACTTGTTGGATTCCTTGTGAGACTGTGAGAAAGGCGCCCGATGTGGTTGTCCGTGAGTTGGCAGAGGTTGATGACACAGACAGAGTGGAGGCAGACGTGTTTGCCGGAGTTCCTGACATGCAGCTGGTGGAGACTGTTGCAAGCGACTCAGTGTCAGGCATTGTGCCTGATCGAATGGACAGGCAAACTACGGACTTGTGTGTTGAGGGCGTTTCGAACGAGGAAGTGGTCTTGCCCATTCACGCCACTCAGAGTTGGACGAAACCGCCGAGTGAACAAGACAATGACGATCCCGAACTTGCCCTGTTGAATACAGACAGCCTAAGAGCGCGATTGAAGGAGGCCATGAGCAGAATCTGCGAACTTGAGAATGCCAAGACAGAGTTGAGTGTGCGTCTGCGTGAGCTGGAAGGCGTTATGATGTGTGAAGATAAGCCGATGGATGTGATGCCTCTTAGTTCTCGTGTGCCTGACCGGTCGATGAAAGTGACGGAGGAAGCTGATGCACTGTGGAAGCACAACAAAGAGCTGATGACAGAGGTAGACTTGTTACGAAGTAAGATTTCAGAGCGCGTGACACTGTTGGACGATGTGTGCATGGAGATGGATGAGGTCAGAGGATCACTGGGTTTCTTGTTGAAGCAGGTGAGAGAATTGCGTGCAGCACATGCTGAGGCGAATGCTGACCGCGCCGAAATGGCGAACAGAATGAGTGAGTACGAACGGGTTTCACATCGCCTGTGCGAAACAGTTGGTCGATCCACGTCACCAGTGCAAGACATCGACTATGCACACGAAGGCTCGTCGACTGACCGTTGCACATCAGACGGGTTGCGAGAGGATTTGCAGCGTGCACTGGATACACAATCGTCCGAGCTGGAGGCAGTCACTGAGAAACTGAAAGAATGTGAGTCAATGAACAATGCCCTGATCTGTGAGTGTGAGTCGCTGAAGCGTCGTCTAGAGAGTTATATGACTGTGATTACTGACTTGGAGAATGATGTGACCAAGACGAAAGCACTGTTGGCGTTTGTGGTTGACCATATAAGAGGTCTGCGTTCCGACTATGGAGATTGGTGCAGAGAGCACGAACAACGAGTGCAGGAGTGTTTAGATGCCGTCACAACAGGGTTGTCCCATGGTGTGGTTGAACACGTGGACCGTGAGTGTGAGACAATGACATGGCCAGAACACTTGGAGTCTACTGTTATGCTTGATAGCTTTGTGCGACTACAAGAGTCTCATGAAGTGACGTCGATGCAGAGAGGCCAAGATTGGGATTCGGTAAGTGAGATGAGCAGACTGTGCGACCGGAACCGTGAGCTGTCTGAGGAGCTCTGCAAGTGTCGAGACCTGTGTGATAAGCAGGCATCTGAGATGGTGTTTATGCAAACAGCTCTTCGTCAGGCAGTCGAACAGGCGTCAACTGCCCGAGAGGAACTGGAGGCCTATAGACACGAGAAGGTTTGCGCAATGTCAGATCTGGAGAGTCAACTGTCTGCTTCTCGTGACGAGTGTTCTGCACTACGGGATCAAGTGTGTCGGCTTGAGACATCGATGGAAGAGCATTGCAACACTGTGTTGGCGATAGCCAGTCGAGACTGGGAGTCGCGCGTAAACGAAATTGTGAGAGAACGCGACACAGCCATGAAAGAGTTGTTGGAACTGCGTAGTAGGTTGGATATGGCAGACGATGTGGACGCCAGTTTGGCAAAAACAGTGTGCAGAAGTGACATGGGAACTGACGTGCTAGATCGTATGATTGAACGTGATATAGCTTTGTCATCAGGGTTCACTAGTGATACGAGAGAGACTGTGAGCGTGGGCGTTGGTAAAGATGCAGAGGACGACGAGTTGAATTGCATGGTTGTTGACGGTTGGAGCGACTACTCCTCAGAATGCATACACGACGAGCACAAGCCTAGTGTGTCGGTTGGTTCTCCGACTAGACTTGTGAGTGTGGCGACTCAAGCGACAGACAGCGTGTCTTGGTTGGCTACTGACACATTGTCAACTTCAGGATTTACCGATCAGTCGACCGTAGATCAGTCGACCAGGAGTCCAGTGGAGATGACGAGAGAGAAGCTAGTGAGTTCAAGTTTGTGTGAAGATGAGTCGAATGTGGTTGGTCAACTGCGCGAAGAGTTGACATCTTGTTATGAACAGATAGTGAAGCTGTCTAGATCGGTGGAGGAGAGTGATGCTTCGTTGATGGATGTCCGGCGTTTGTTGACTGTGAAGGAGAGTGAAGTGGCGGATCTGAGAGAGGAGAAGCGTCATTTACGAGACGAATTGAATGAGTTGAGGGAGACTGTAGAGGCAGAACGACGTGATTTGGACATAATGCGTGCAAATATGGATGTGTTGGAGAGCAAGGAAGAGGTGTCGGCGATGTGCGTGGAGTGTCGTGGACCGAACGTTGCTGCTGCTGCTGCTGCTGCTGCTGCTGCTGTGGAGGAGGAGTGTGTGCAGACGGAGATTGACGACGAAGTTTTTGACCTGGTGTCGACGTTGCAGCTCGAGGTTGCCCATCTGCGTGAGGAAAATGCGGCGACGTTGGCGGCTCTGGAGCGTTCACAGCTCGAGTTGAGCATGAAACAGACCGAAGTGCAGGAACCGGAGTCACGTATGATGGTGAACGAGACAACTTGTTGGATTCCTTGTGAGACTGTGAGAAAGGCGCCCGATGTGGTTGTCCGTGAGTTGGCAGAGGTTGATGACACAGACAGAGTGGAGGCAGACGTGTTTGCCGGAGTTCCTGACATGCAGCTGGTGGAGACTGTTGCAAGCGACTCAGTGTCAGGCATTGTGCCTGATCGAATGGACAGGCAAACTACGGACTTGTGTGTTGAGGGCGTTTCGAACGAGGAAGTGGTCTTGCCCATTCACGCCACTCAGAGTTGGACGAAACCGCCGAGTGAACAAGACAATGACGATCCCGAACTTTCCCTGTTGAATACAGACAGCCTAAGAGCGCGATTGAAGGAGGCCATGAGCAGAATCTGCGAACTTGAGAATGCCAAGACAGAGTTGAGTGTGAGTCTGCGTGAGCTGGAAGGCGTTATGATGTGTGAAGATAAGCCGATGGATGTGATGCCTCTTAGTTCTCGTGTGCCTGACCGGTCGATGAAAGTGACGGAGGAAGCTGATGCACTGTGGAAGCACAACAAAGAGCTGATGACAGAGGTAGACTTGTTACGAAGTAAGATTTCAGAGCGCGTGACACTGTTGGACGATGTGTGCATGGAGATGGATGAGGTCAGAGGATCACTGGGTTTCTTGTTGAAGCAGGTGAGAGAATTGCGTGCAGCACATGCTGAGGCGAATGCTGACCGCGCCGAAATGGCGAACAGAATGAGTGAGTACGAACGGGTTTCACATCGCCTGTGCGAAACAGTTGGTCGATCCACGTCACCAGTGCAAGACATCGACTATGCACACGAAGGCTCGTCGACTGACCGTTGCACATCAGACGGGTTGCGAGAGGATTTGCAGCGTGCACTGGATACACAATCGTCCGAGCTGGAGGCAGTCACTGAGAAACTGAAAGAATGTGAGTCAATGAACAATGCCCTGATCTGTGAGTGTGAGTCGCTGAAGCGTCGTCTAGAGAGTTATATGACTGTGATTACTGACTTGGAGAATGATGTGACCAAGACGAAAGCACTGTTGGCGTTTGTGGTTGACCATATAAGAGGTCTGCGTTCCGACTATGGAGATTGGTGCAGAGAGCACGAACAACGAGTGCAGGAGTGTTTAGATGCCGTCACAACAGGGTTGTCCCATGGTGTGGTTGAACACGTGGACCGTGAGTGTGAGACAATGACATGGCCAGAACACTTGGAGTCTACTGTTATGCTTGATAGCTTTGTGCGACTACAAGAGTCTCATGAAGTGACGTCGATGCAGAGAGGCCAAGATTGGGATTCGGTAAGTGAGATGAGCAGACTGTGCGACCGGAACCGTGAGCTGTCTGAGGAGCTCTGCAAGTGTCGAGACCTGTGTGATAAGCAGGCATCTGAGATGGTGTTTATGCAAACAGCTCTTCGTCAGGCAGTCGAACAGGCGTCAACTGCCCGAGAGGAACTGGAGGCCTATAGACACGAGAAGGTTTGCGCAATGTCAGATCTGGAGAGTCAACTGTCTGCTTCTCGTGACGAGTGTTCTGCACTACGGGATCAAGTGTGTCGGCTTGAGACATCGATGGAAGAGCATTGCAACACTGTGTTGGCGATAGCCAGTCGAGACTGGGAGTCGCGCGTAAACGAAATTGTGAGAGAACGCGACACAGCCATGAAAGAGTTGTTGGAACTGCGTAGTAGGTTGGATATGGCAGACGATGTGGACGCCAGGTTGGCAAAAACAGTGTGCAGAAGTGACATGGGAACTGACGTGCTAGATCGTATGATTGAACGTGATATAGCTTTGTCATCAGGGTTCACTAGTGATACGAGAGAGACTGTGAGCGTGGGCGTTGGTAAAGATGCAGAGGACGACGAGTTGAATTGCATGGTTGTTGACGGTTGGAGCGACTACTCCTCAGAATGCATACACGACGAGCACAAGCCTAGTGTGTCGGTTGGTTCTCCGACTAGACTTGTGAGTGTGGCGACTCAAGCGACAGACAGCGTGTCTTGGTTGGCTACTGACACATTGTCAACTTCAGGATTTACCGATCAGTCGACCGTAGATCAGTCGACCAGGAGTCCAGTGGAGATGACGAGAGAGAAGCTAGTGAGTTCAAGTTTGTGTGAAGATGAGTCGAATGTGGTTGGTCAACTGCGCGAAGAGTTGACATCTTGTTATGAACAGATAGTGAAGCTGTCTAGATCGGTGGAGGAGAGTGATGCTTCGTTGATGGATGTCCGGCGTTTGTTGACTGTGAAGGAGAGTGAAGTGGCGGATCTGAGAGAGGAGAAGCGTCATTTACGAGACGAATTGAATGAGTTGAGGGAGACTGTAGAGGCAGAACGACGTGATTTGGACATAATGCGTGCAAATATGGATGTGTTGGAGAGCAAGGAAGAGGTGTCGGCGATGTGCGTGGAGTGTCGTGGACCGAACGTTGCTGCTGCTGCTGCTGCTGCTGCTGTGGAGGAGGAGTGTGTGCAGACGGAGATTGACGACGAAGTTTTTGACCTGGTGTCGACGTTGCAGCTCGAGGTTGCCCATCTGCGTGAGGAAAATGCGGCGACGTTGGCGGCTCTGGAGCGTTCACAGCTCGAGTTGAGCATGAAACAGACCGAAGTGCAGGAACCGGAGTCACGTATGATGGTGAACGAGACAACTTGTCGGATTCCTTGTGAGACTGTGAGAAAGGCGCCCGATGTGGTTGTCCGTGAGTTGGCAGAGGTTGATGACACAGACAGAGTGGAGGCAGACGTGTTTGCCGGAGTTCCTGACATGCAGCTGGTGGAGACTGTTGCAAGCGACTCAGTGTCAGGCATTGTGCCTGATCGAATGGACAGGCAAACTACGGACTTGTGTGTTGAGGGCGTTTCGAACGAGGAAGTGGTCTTGCCCATTCACGCCACTCAGAGTTGGACGAAACCGCCGAGTGAACAAGACAATGACGATCCCGAACTTTCCCTGTTGAATACAGACAGCCTAAGAGCGCGATTGAAGGAGGCCATGAGCAGAATCTGCGAACTTGAGAATGCCAAGACAGAGTTGAGTGTGAGTCTGCGTGAGCTGGAAGGCGTTATGATGTGTGAAGATAAGCCGATGGATGTGATGCCTCTTAGTTCTCGTGTGCCTGACCGGTCGATGAAAGTGACGGAGGAAGCTGATGCACTGTGGAAGCACAACAAAGAGCTGATGACAGAGGTAGACTTGTTACGAAGTAAGATTTCAGAGCGCGTGACACTGTTGGACGATGTGTGCATGGAGATGGATGAGGTCAGAGGATCACTGGGTTTCTTGTTGAAGCAGGTGAGAGAATTGCGTGCAGCACATGCTGAGGCGAATGCTGACCGCGCCGAAATGGCGAACAGAATGAGTGAGTACGAACGGGTTTCACATCGCCTGTGCGAAACAGTTGGTCGATCCACGTCACCAGTGCAAGACATCGACTATGCACACGAAGGCTCGTCGACTGACCGTTGCACATCAGACGGGTTGCGAGAGGATTTGCAGCGTGCACTGGATACACAATCGTCCGAGCTGGAGGCAGTCACTGAGAAACTGAAAGAATGTGAGTCAATGAACAATGCCCTGATCTGTGAGTGTGAGTCGCTGAAGCGTCGTCTAGAGAGTTATATGACTGTGATTACTGACTTGGAGAATGATGTGACCAAGACGAAAGCACTGTTGGCGTTTGTGGTTGACCATATAAGAGGTCTGCGTTCCGACTATGGAGATTGGTGCAGAGAGCACGAACAACGAGTGCAGGAGTGTTTAGATGCCGTCACAACAGGGTTGTCCCATGGTGTGGTTGAACACGTGGACCGTGAGTGTGAGACAATGACATGGCCAGAACACTTGGAGTCTACTGTTATGCTTGATAGCTTTGTGCGACTACAAGAGTCTCATGAAGTGACGTCGATGCAGAGAGGCCAAGATTGGGATTCGGTAAGTGAGATGAGCAGACTGTGCGACCGGAACCGTGAGCTGTCTGAGGAGCTCTGCAAGTGTCGAGACCTGTGTGATAAGCAGGCATCTGAGATGGTGTTTATGCAAACAGCTCTTCGTCAGGCAGTCGAACAGGCGTCAACTGCCCGAGAGGAACTGGAGGCCTATAGACACGAGAAGGTTTGCGCAATGTCAGATCTGGAGAGTCAACTGTCTGCTTCTCGTGACGAGTGTTCTGCACTACGGGATCAAGTGTGTCGGCTTGAGACATCGATGGAAGAGCATTGCAACACTGTGTTGGCGATAGCCAGTCGAGACTGGGAGTCGCGCGTAAACGAAATTGTGAGAGAACGCGACACAGCCATGAAAGAGTTGTTGGAACTGCGTAGTAGGTTGGATATGGCAGACGATGTGGACGCCAGGTTGGCAAAAACAGTGTGCAGAAGTGACATGGGAACTGACGTGCTAGATCGTATGATTGAACGTGATATAGCTTTGTCATCAGGGTTCACTAGTGATACGAGAGAGACTGTGAGCGTGGGCGTTGGTAAAGATGCAGAGGACGACGAGTTGAATTGCATGGTTGTTGACGGTTGGAGCGACTACTCCTCAGAATGCATACACGACGAGCACAAGCCTAGTGTGTCGGTTGGTTCTCCGACTAGACTTGTGAGTGTGGCGACTCAAGCGACAGACAGCGTGTCTTGGTTGGCTACTGACACATTGTCAACTTCAGGATTTACCGATCAGTCGACCGTAGATCAGTCGACCAGGAGTCCAGTGGAGATGACGAGAGAGAAGCTAGTGAGTTCAAGTTTGTGTGAAGATGAGTCGAATGTGGTTGGTCAACTGCGCGAAGAGTTGACGTCTTGTTATGAACAGATAGTGAAGCTGTCTAGATCGGTGGAGGAGAGTGATGCTTCGTTGATGGATGTCCGGCGTTTGTTGACTGTGAAGGAGAGTGAAGTGGCGGATCTGAGAGAGGAGAAGCGTCATTTACGAGACGAATTGAATGAGTTGAGGGAGACTGTAGAGGCAGAACGACGTGATTTGGACATAATGCGTGCAAATATGGATGTGTTGGACAGCAAAGAAGTGATGTCTGATTTACGGTCTCGTCGTGTTATTTTGTTAGATCAACTTGGTTTTTATGATAATTCTGAGGTCGACGGTGCGCATCGTTTATTTTTACATGATGAGCTTTCAGATCTTAAGCAGAAATTCTCAAGAATTTCAATGTCTTTAGCATTCGCTACGGATTTTGTTGATTTATGTATGAAGTTTCTTTTAGTTTTTGTGAATTTACTTTTGGATTTATCTAGATTTTCAAGTACCAATTTTGATCGTATAATGTGTGCTGATTTTATAGATCTTTTGTCAAATATTGTTTCTTTTTTAAAATCTTCTAATTTTGTTGATGTTTTTGGTGATTATTCTAATAGTTTGACATATTTCAGTAATCTACATGAACTACTGTTTTCCGGTTGTCTATCTTCCTGCAGTTTATGTAAAATCCAAGACGTTTGTCATCGTAGTTTTATATGTAATTTATGTGTTCGTTGTATTTCTTCTATCCAACATCCTGATATTTACAATTACATATTAAAAGCACAATATCCTCACATTAATCCAATGAATGGTACCGATGATAATGATTATGATGATCATGATCATGATGTGAATGCTTCTGGTGATTTGTTATCTGATCATCATTCTAATACAATTTATCCACAACTTATATCACAACAATCAATAACTGATAAAACTCAACAAATTGATCTTGAACATCAACTTCTTATTGCTAAATCAGAAATAAATCGATTATCTCATTTATTATATAATATAAGACTAAATAGACATCATGAACAAGAAGAAGTCAAAGAAGAAGAGAAAGAAGAAAAAGAAGAAAAACAAATACAAAAGAAATTCAATAATGATACACAGTTAGAAATTGAAAAAATTTATTATGAAAATTTATATTTAAATAAACAAAATAATCAATTAATAATAATCAATAATCAATTATATCATAAAATATTGAATGAAATTACAAAAGAATTAAACATATTCAAATCATTAATCAATAATAATAATAATAAATCAATATCCAATGAAGAATCAATTGAATGTAATCAATACTTTAAATTTATTGATTATTTATTAAATAATAGAAAAGAATTAATCAAAGAAATTATTGATTATAAAAATCATTATCATATCATTTATCAATTATTAATTGAAGGTTTATATTTAAATAAAATAAATGAATTAAAACAAACTACAAATCAATATTGTTATTGGAAGAAAGTAGAAAATATTATTCATTCTAATAATGATTTAATATCAAGATATAGTTCTATAGAAACTGAATCCAATGTACTTGTTCCACCACCACCATCATCATTATCACCACCACCTCCACCACCGCCACCACCACCACCACAACAACAACAACAAGAACAATTATACGAATTCAATAATTCTATATTACAAACTGGTCATTGTTTACTGAATAAAATAAATAAAATCATAACAAAAATTGAAAAGATTGAAATGGATTTAAACAATTCAAAATGTATTCAACAACAATTGATTGATTTGAAAATAATCAATAATCAATGGAAAATCAATATGAATATAATATTGAATAATTTATTGATTTTACAAAATAAAATCAATAATGATCATGATACAGCAACCATAACTACAACATCAATACCAATGACTTGTAATCATTTGAATGATGAATTAAATCATCATGATAATTATTCTATAAATATATTAAATCCAAATGAAATTATGCCAATATTTAATATATTGATTCAAGATTTCCAAACTTATATCAATAGAATAAGTATTATAGAAAATCAATATAATTTATTAAATGATAAATTAAATCAATTAAATAAACAATGTAATAAACTTCATATTGAAATGATTCAATTACAATCATCAATTAATAATGAAACAATTATCATAGATAACTTAGTAACTAATAATTTAGTTACTATGTCAACTGCATCAATCAACATAACTAATGATAATGATACAGAGAATCTTTCTATCAATATAGAGATTGAAAATATCATGGAAAAAATTAAACTATATACAAATCAATTAAATTCCATTAGAAAACAGATGATACAACAAATAGAACAAAAGAATACTGAACAAATCAAAGCATTAGATGATGATGATGATGAAGATAATACTAATGTAGAAAATGAAGTAAAAGAAGATATTTACATATCAAATCAATATATACTTGATAAAGAAATATTTTTGAACGAGAAAAGTAAAACTATTGAATGTATTGATAATAAACATCAGAAAGATACTCTTATTATTGATTCTACAGATGAAGTGATATCACTTTTAACTGAAGTACCTATTCCACCTGATGTACATTTGATAAGTGACGAGAAGCAATCACTTAATTCTTTTGATGTGAGAAGAATAGTTGAAGAAGATTTCAATGTCAATGTGACAGAAACAAGTGTACTGGATATAAGAAGAGATTATTCTACTAATGAATTGAAAGATACTCCTCTTATTGATTCTACAGATGAAGTGATATCACTATTAAATAAAGTACCTATTCCACCTGATGTAAATTTGTTAAGTGATGAGAAACAATCACATGATTCTTCTGATGTCCGTAGAATAGTTGAAGAAGATTTCAATGTCAATGACACAGAACAAAGCTTACTAGATATAAGAAGAGATAATTCTACTAATGAATTGAAAGATACTTCTGTTATTGGTTCTACAGATGAAATGATATCATTTTCAACTAAAGTACCTATTACAAATGATGTAGATCTTATAAGTGATGAGAAACAATCACATAGTTCTTCTGATGTTAATAGAATTCATGATACAGAACAATTTCAGACTATTATTTCAAACAATTATACAAAATCTACTAATAATACGGACCAATATTCACTCGAGTTTGTTTTACGTTTATTACATTTACGTGATACGGAACTATTATACATCATCTCAACAAATAATAAATCTGAAGAAGAAGAATCAATAAACCATAATAAATATAATCTATCTCCATCTCTATTAAACAATCAAATTCTCATAAAAAAACTTAATAAATTCATATATTGGGAAAATATAGATCCAATCGATATAAATAGTATACCAATTCATCGTATTAATATCAATATGTTCGAATCAAAAGAATCTATTGAACAACAAATCGATAGAATATCATCTACTTCCAAGAATCAATTATTTATAAATGTTGAAACAATAGAAATGACAAATCAATCTATTGATCAAATATCTTATCATGAAGATATGGATGTAAGTGATATTTTATTATTAATTTTCTAATAATAATTTATTGATTTATTTTAACACATACATATTGATACAAGGAGGCACCAAATACATATGCGCCACACAAATATCATTCGATATGTGTGAGGGCTGTGATACTGCCCGGGTTGACAAACCGAAGCAGGTGGTTTTCTTAGATGGCCACTCCCCGAGCCTTCGACCTGAAGGTCTGACTCACAAGGCAGTGGAACATCGTAAGGAGATGTAGTCCCATGGAAGTCGGTGACCAACAATTGGTTCATACGCCTTTTGTTCCCGCAGGATACTGGAGCTCATGTGATCCATTGATTTGGTTTGGAATCCGGTTAAAGCCCCGGACATTCGCCTTTCGTTCTCTCATTTTCGCAAACAACACTTGTGTCACGAGAAGGCAATGAGTGGAACTTCCCTGGCAGAGGCTATATACGCGTGGCCATGTGAGAGCATTTCGAGAGGGAAAACGGACTCCCCACTGTCAGCCGTACCAGGGCATTTGGGGGTTATAGTAGTAAACAATGTTGAATCCCCTATAATCTTCTCATTAATAATGATCACTTTCATGAGAATAACTACAGGAGGCTAATTTGTGCTGAATGTGTTTACCTATGCAAACGTTCTACAAATAAAGTCGCCTTCTGTATACCTCAAAAAGAATTTATGATCATTAGATGAGTATTTGAAAACTAGATGGGATTTTTTTTCTCTTAACTTCCTGTTGTCATCTTAACGTGATGTGGCAGCTTCTATTGTTACTCATATGTGCTTAGTGTCATTTTGTTTGTGGCTGACGGTTATCATTTAACTTATAACCGATAAACAGCATCGGAACAATGAAAATCTGACTGTTGATTTGATTTTCGATAGGATTTCTATCTGTCTATCTATTTATGTAAACACTTAAATATTGTTACAAAAGGGTACCAAACAAATCATTGGATTTGTTTGTGAGCCTTAATACTATCTGGGTACTCAAGCTAAAGCAGGTGGTCCTACTAGGGGACCACATCCGTGCCTATGGTCCACAAGGTAATGGGGCAATGTTAGGAGATGCAATCTTACAATATCTGGTTACCAACAATAGGTTCCGAATCCATTCGATCTCTCAGGATTCTGGAGTTCATGTTCATCATTGTTTTGGAATCAGTTTTCCAACCTCCTCAGATGTATGCTCCATACCCATCAACTTTATTTAAGCATTAAACATTGACGAGGCAGATACGAACCGCCAACCTAAGAAACATTTGTGCATGCATTGGGTCCAAAATAGTTCTGATAAACTTCGTCTTCTCATCGCATTATTGAAATAGTACTATAGTTCCATTGACTGTCGTTATTTCAAAGGGAATAAATGGAATAAAAATAAGTCATTTAAAGCCAGAAGACATCTCAATTTATTGCTCTACTGTATGATTAGTTCCTAGCTGAATGTTAACTAATAAGACCTAAGAAGCTAAATATCTCCACCTTATTTATAGATTATGGAACACATTCGATGTTGTTTACTTTTCCGATTCTCTCAATGCTTTATAATTGAGAATGAATTATATAAATTTAATGTGCTTTCCCCCCCCCAGAAAGATCAAGTATTTATTGATCGTACACCCAATCGTTAGTTGAAGGAAAATGACACTGAATATTCGTTAAATCGAAATTTCATATGTATTATCTAAACGTACGCTAAATCAGGCAAGTTTACCAGACTAACTTCCTCCAAATGTATTCGAATATTGGTAAACAACCAAAGTTTATTAACATTTACCACCTATTGTAACTTATTGCTTGATTGGAAAGATATTCTTCATGATAACTGAATGTAATTGACGATATGATAAATATCGGTGATGTGGAATACAAACATTTTTCAACTTTTTGTAGATTTTAAACAAACTCTGATCAGTACTTCATTGTTGTGACAGAACTCAACTGAAGTTTAAAGCTTAGGTTCAAGAAAAGAGAATAACTATTTTGCCAACTTACTTGGATCATTTTACGACTATCAACCAGATGTTTTGTCACGTTTTTTTCTCACAGTTACTAAGTGTCCCCCCTTCCAGCCAAACAAGTTGATGAGGCCTAGTAGGCCCTTCTGGAGGGAAACAGGCCACATCAAAACACAGCACAACTACCGGTACTAGAATAGCTGTTTTTGCAACCAGTTCAAGTTTGCCCTGTAAGGAGCAACCCCGTACATTACATGCACCACTTTTGTTAATTTTTTGTCGTTTTTCCATACAAGAGTAATTGTGCTGTATTTCTTTGTGGAGTTCGTAATCGGTTTGAGGGTATCGATCAAGTGGATGATTAGCCAGATCTCTACCACCTAGGTTACCGCTCACGTTAGTTCGTGAGTCATCCGTCCATCCGCTCATATATAATACACAAATAACTAATATTCTATACTTCTTTTTTTTCAGTGGTATGAACAACATTTGTATACGTTAGTTCAAAATGCATTGAATGCATTAAATCAAATGAATCAACATTTTCTTGAATCGAGAAAACCATTATTATCTGAACACAGACAAGAAGAGTTAATCAATATCTTGACGAAATTATTAACAACTATCCCAATAAACAATAGTATACAACAACAAACTCATGAAAAAAATGTTCAAAAAAGCCTTCAATCATCTCCCTCATTTTCTCCATGTTTAACATCATCATTATTAGAAGAACATCCAGTATGTAGTACAACTGTTACAAGTATCACTACAACGACAACTTCAGGAGTTACTTGTTTTATTCAAACTCTTTCATCTATTACACCTACTAATACCACTACAACTACTACATCGTTTCCACAATCTAAACAGATCTCTGAAATATCTGATTCATCTAATTTAAGTTTGACAACAAATTTAACTTATCCAAGACGTTCAGAAAAAGCATCAATAAATGAATTAATTAGTTCTGTGGATCATTTGAGAAATTTGCATGAATTACGCAGTTTAGCCAAATATCTTTTAGATCAATATCATATTGTTACATCTGAAGTAAGTAAAATGAATTTCTGTGGATTGGTTGAAGTTAGACATTAACACCACTGGATACCAGTTCATTAGTCTAGAGGTTTGAGTGTTCACGTGCGAGACCGAAGGTCCTGGGTTCGTGGATGCACCCTCCTGAGGAGTCCTATGATAGGACGAAATGTTTGTCCAGTATTTTCAGGTTTCCAATGGTGGTTTAACATCAGTCGATTCATGATCTCAATAAAAACATTTTATGCACTTAACTGATTGTGTATATTGTTATATGACAATCTTAACGCTTCAATCTCAATATTAACATAATGTGGTTTTATAGACCAAAAGGATATGATTGCCATAAGATCTACTGTGCCCCCCCCCCATTCTTAGTGTATTATCGCATGTTGAAACTTGAAAATCATCTATTCGAATAAGTTATTAAATGCTTCAACTTGTTTACGTAATATAGACGACACATTGGTCATTTGTGATGAGAATGTTTACACAGCTGATGTTTTACCTTCTTCCAAAATTGTTCATTCAACCCTAAAAATGAAGTAAATTCATCCATCTCCTTTCATGGTGTAATTCTGAAAAGGTAGGATGATCTATCTCTACAAAATAAAGATGGAACTGGCAACTAACCAACTTCTATACATCTGGGCGCTATTTTACAGAAATAACAGTTTTATTCACTCTATATGAATTCGGATACATGATGTCTGTAATATAGGATGAATTAATGAAGAAAATTCTTTCCTTTTGAAAAACAACAGTTGAGAAACAGTTTTTCAATAAACGCTTCACATATAGGAACATGAAACTTCGCTTCTATGACTTCAGTGAGTCAGTCAGTAACAACGTAGAACTTCGTACGTACATACATCAGTTCGAGTTGCCATACCACATTAGCACAGAGATCCAGTTGTCGATTCAACTCCCGTAGTGGTAGAGGTAGTAAGAGTATAAGCAGTAATCGGAAAGTGACTTCATGGACTTGTGCCATGTTTTGCTCTGGCCGCCCCTAACATTCTTCCAACCTACTCCTATACCACTGAACATCGCACGTCGAGGCAGTCGGTCGTTGGGCATACGTAACACGTGTCCCAGCCATTCTCAACTGATGAAGCTTCTATGACTTAACTTGCTACACATATTATAACATTTAAAGATAACTAAGCCGTCAATATACTTAAGAGAATATTTTATACAACTAAACTATAGTTAATTTTCAAAAGCTAGAAACTGTTTTACTTCTATATCTACTTCCGATTGAAAAAAGTTAGTGACGGGCAAACCAAAACGTGACATCAGTTCATAAAGTCAATAACTACTGGTCTATACCATGTTGGCAAATGCAAACTACTTGATTGAGGTGCACCCAACGATCGTAGTCAATGGTTAGATACTTTGGGTGATATGACTCGGAATGGTTCACAATGACGTCAGTGTAAACACTGTCTGAGAGATTAAAACTACATTATACCTTTCTTTCTACGAACTAACACTACCATTGAAGTAACTGTTTCTATGAATTTGGTATTCGTCTTGTACTAATTAGGTATGTCAATTTGGACTGATCCATTTATGTGCCTGGTCCCATGTTGCAGATGACTGATTACGACTAACGCATAAATTATAAATCCTATGATACCTAGTTTTCATTGTTTATCAAACTCCACTAGTGAATTTCATATAACATTTTTTTTTATTCATTTATATACTTAATCGTATTTAGCTAGACCTTCAGTCTGATACTAATTGGTGTTTAAGACAGAGATTGACAAATGCAAACAGTCAATTAAATCGGTTAACAGGCTTGTTAAATAAAAGCAGTCAAGGATTGTCATCGATTGAAGAAGATTTAAGCTTAGGAACGGACAAAACTTCATTACGTTCAGGTACTGATTAATATGTTATTTAGTATTTTATTGATCCCTTATTTATAATTAACATTCTTTTTAATGTAATATTACTAATTTAGGCCATTGATGTGGAATTTTTGTAGTTCTAATCGACTTTTAGTGGCCCTTTATCTGACTTCAGTTTGATTCTTTCTGGTTGTTACTTAAATATATATCCCAGCTACCGTCATATGTAATCACTGACTTAAATAGCCGTTGTTGAATAATGGAATTAAATAAATCAAATATGAGAATGAATTTCGAATACGTATATTTCGTACAATCGTTCATCTGAACAGACAATCGGAGAAACAAAGTGAAAAGGAAAGAGCTAAGCAAAACGAAATGACGCTTAGTGCAGAAAGCGAGTGAGCCAATTTCATTTAATCAAGCATTAATCGATAATTATAGTCAAAGAAAAATAAGTTACAGAAATATAATGAATGAGGTAAGTAATTAACGCACACACACATATATAAAAACAGTCAAAGTTGGTTAGCTTGTAGTGAGGCGTCGAGTCGTTGTTGACTATGATCACCACTATAGGAAGACTACGTGCCAGTTAATCGATAAGATCCGTCGTAAGCCAAAATATCAGGAGACAGTCGATGGTTGTATTCGAGATATATTTGTTGGCGATCTCGTGGTATCGAAAGAATACCGAGATCGTACCAAAAGAGTACAAATGTGGTTACTTCTAAAACTTCAACAACCATCCATGAGTCAAAACATAACAACAATAACAAGCAATAAATATACGAATTAATTTTCATTGAAAGTTCAGAAGACGAATATCTTATCTACTATTTCATTGTATTATACATATGTACTAGAAATCAGCTGAATTATACTTGCAATATATACATTATTGTTTTCCTGACAAATTTTTTTTACTTCCCAATTGTTTACAGCTTCATATAAAACATTTTGAATTTATGTTAAATAATGAGAAAATAAGACTATCATAGTTTTGTGTGAGGGCTGGTATACTTCCCAGGTGCCCAAACTGAAACAGGTGATTTTCTTAAGGGACCACATCCGTATCCTTTGACCTAAAGGTCTGATCCACAAGTCAGTAGAGTAACGTCAGAAAATGCAGTCTCATGGTATTCGATGACCAATAATATGTTCATACGCCATTTGTTCCCCCAGAATCCTTGTGTACATGTGCATCATTGGTTTGAAATTAGGATTTTCCAACTCCCCTAGTTGGATTATCCATATCCACCAACCCGGTCAAAGTGACGGACATTCGCTTTTCGTCCTTTCAATTCGTAACGAACAATATCCCCGTCGTGAGATGGTAGTGAGTAGAACTTCATTGTCAGTGGTTGTATGCATGTGGCCATGTGAGAACATTTCGAGAAGCGGGACGGACTCTCCGCACCTTCGGCCGTACCAAGGCATTCGGGGGCACTATTTTGTATACTAAAGTATAACAGTGTATATCAGTCAGTCAGTAACAACGTAGAACTTTGTACGTACATATATCAGTTCGAGTCGCCATACCACATTAGCACAGAGATGCAGTTGTCGATTCAAATCCCGTAGTGGTAGAGGAAGTAAAAGTATAAGCAATAATCGGAAAGATTAGGGTTTGGAGATATTATTTAAGGAGTATAATCCAGTGTATATTCAACTTTGTAAATGTTAAATTTGGTCTTTTTAATATATTCGGTACATATGACAATGAATAATTGTTCCTATGTTATTATGTTGTCCATATCACAACTATTACTTACTTTGTTTTGTCCTTAGCTTATACGATCATCATGAAATACGACTGCCAAATTAAGATCCGCCGACTTATACGACTAAACTAATGACGCATACACCAGAAGGAGCAGCCTAGAGTTCCGATTAGTCCTTTTGCGTTGAGCCCTGCCTGTTAAATCCAAAACCTCAATCTCAGCCTCTGTGATATGTACTCGGTTTATATACGAACCAAATAGACCACATCGTACCATAAAATATAAAATAACATTTGTGCAAGATCAAGCCAAAAAGGGGTTGTGAGTGTGGGAAACTGAAACTAATAAATTGGGAATAACTTATGAATAGTAAATCGTCCAGTAGTAGTCAATAGGTCAAATGGAAGCTTATAATAAAAGGAATATGAATATACATATAACGGAGTCACTTCACAGTCATACATCAAGAATATACGTATAAGATTTGTCCATAAATAATTCCGAACGGTTACCATTCATTTATTCTTTGTCCGGATATAACACATTTGTATACGGATTATTTGTATTATATCATGTTTGAAGGCGGATTGAGAAAAAGAAACTGGTAGAAATTGCTAGTGTAGTGAACGATAACTTGTTTTAGATAATCAATTTATTGATTGATGAAAAATTATAGAGTTCTTTTGTATAACCGTACATTAAATACTTCATCTGCACATCTTTTATCATTTGTCTCTTAAAAGCCTTATCGTTCCCTCATTCCTGTTTTTATTACCATTACTCTCTGTTTATATTCTTGTTCACTTCAACTTGATCTTTTCAATCTTCTGCTGCCTAGGCATTTCACTTCTGATTGGTGTTACATACTACTTATATCTATCAACAAAAGTAGTATACACCATATTAGAAATGTGCACAATATTTCATTAAACGCAATCAGCTTTAATTTTTACCATTTCATCTGTAATTGATGTGCGTCTATACATTTTACAATTCAAATATTTATCCAGATCCAACAGTAGTACTTCCGTAATATCAATGATGACGAATGAGCTAATATGTTAAATCTTTTTTGTTTCATTACTATCAGAAGGGGTTTTGTGCAGATTGTAGTAATTTTAATAGTTGAGATCATGAATCAATTGAAGCTAGACTACCATGGGTAATCTGAAAGCACTGGACAACCGTTTCGTCTTATTTTGGAACTTCTCAGTAGTGCGCATCCACGACCCTGCCTCGTGGGATTCGAACCCAGAGCCTATCGGTCTCTCGCGCGAGCGCTTAACCACTAGACCACTGAGCTGACTGGCATCCAACGGTGTTAATTAGTTGTCAATTAGCCGAGATTTTTTTCAGGTGTTTTTATTTATAATCTTTAAAACTGTTAAGTTTTGATTAAGATGTTACTTTGTACACCAACATAACTCAATGTCACTATGACAATGTGTACGTGACTGAACTACATTCAACTCATTACTGAAGTTTTAATCTAATTTTGTTTTTGTGATATATCTCTCTTGTTAGAACATTATGATGGAATACGTCATAAATCACTTCAACCAACTTATACTTTAAATAATTTACAAGAAAAGAATATAACTAGTGGTCGACGTTTAAATTTCATTCCTTCCTCTGATGAACAATTGGTAAGTTGTTTTCCATAATTATAATCATTTGTGAAAGTTACACTTTCCAAAATAAAAATAAAAACATGGATGTTTGTATAGATAATCTAAAGGGAAAGAAACAAACCAAAAAGCACATAGTAACTAATCATTACTTATGTTGTTATGATTGTTTATGATTACATTTTACACTAATCAAATACATCATGTGTTTATATTTGTAAAAGATGATTATGTTTCATGTGATAAGTTATTGACATGTTTGTTCGTAAACAGTTTGTTTGTTTGTTTTCAACGAATAGTTACTGGATAAAGTACTTCTATCAATTCATTATTTTGTTCTAATTTTTGGTTAAAGATAATCGATCCAAGATATTTAGGTGATGATCAGTCAGTTATACCATATGAATAGTTTATCACTTGTTAATTATGTGTGAATAGTTTTGATGAGACTATAATTGATGGACAATATTTGATCGACGCCGTAATGATCTTCAGAATGTACCCCTTCTTACTATAGTTAAATGAGAGTTACAAAGCAGTTTGAAGAATAAGGATTATAAGTATAGGAGTTGTGGAGATTGTCAAGTTTTTGATTGAGATCATGAATCGATTGATGTTAGACCACCACCTTTGGAAACCTGGAAGCAATGGGCGGCCGTTTCGTCCTATTGTGGAACTCCTCAGCAGTGCTCATCCACGATCCTGCTCGCGGGATTCGAACCCAGGGCATTCAGTCTCGCGCGCGAACGCTTAGCCTACTGGACTACTGAGCCGGCATCTAATGGTGTTAATGTCTAACCTCATCCAATCCACGAAATCGCGCGACCATCTTCTATTGTACTGAGTTAGACACTTGTTTGTACCCGAAACGGATTAACTCCACTGGTCACGATTATGGTTTACAGTTGATGGTTAGAGTTAGGAATTAGATTTATGGTTTTCATCACGAACTGATATAAGCTAAAATGCTAAAATTCTCTCAATTTCTTAAACAAAACCCTCGCTACAAGAAGGCAGTGAGTAGAACTTCCTGGTCTGTACCTATATACGCACAGCCATACGAGAACATTTTGAGAAGGAGAACGGATTTTCCTCACCATTAGCCGTACCATGGCATTTGATTGATACTGTTCATAGATATTAGTTTGAACCTAAAACAACTATCTATAACAGCTAGATCTACCACACATTGTTGATTATTGTTGTAATCATTCATTTTTAGGCCTACAGGTATAAGACAATTTCACATGCATCAATTAGCTAACAATAAATTTCAAAATATAGCCATTTTTTGGGTATGCACGATTTGTTTAATAATAGCCTTAGTAAAACACTATATCATTCAATGTCACGTTATATGAGCTAAAAACAAACCTTTAAAATGATTTACAGTACAAGTAGTTATAATCTACTAACAAAAACACTGTTTTCTTGATTGTAACTTAATAGGTAATCACTTAGTTACAAAATCTTTCTTTCTTGCTAGATTGGGTCTTTATCAAAACTTTTAGAGATTACTGACTGACATAAATGATAAACATTTAGAAGATTTTGGATAGTACACGTTTTACATTGATCGATCAGTCAATACCAACAATTTTTTATGAATATAGAATCCTTCTTACTGATAAGATGTTATATATTGCGTTATAATCTGGCCACTACTTTATGTTACCCAGTATCGTGTACACTATTTTTAGTGTAAGGTGGCTGGGGGTAGTCAGCAAGAAACCCTCTTTATAAGTACAAAGCATAATTCTAAACTTAAGGAAACTGATATTCCTTATGGAACCCGAATCCATATCACCCAGTTTAACATTTTGAAATGCTACAACTAAACTGTTCATACCTCATTTGACCTCCTATAAGTCTGACATGTCTACGTTGACTGATCATTGTGCAGTTTTATGTGCTGTTACGTGTATGAGGGCTGATATCACTTCCCGGTTGTCCACACCGTGGAAGGGTATTTCTTGAGGAACCTGAAAATGAAGTTGGATTATTGTTGGTCTTAACGACCTGGGAGTGTGACCGCAGAGCCCAAGAGACAACGGCCTAAAGCCGGGCGCACACGGCCTTTTTGTGAGGGGTTTCTAACATGTTAGCTCCGTTCTCCAAACGGCCTTACCGCCGGAGACGGAAATTCTCGAGGTAAGGTGAGGCGTGACATTTTTATGGTTGACCTTTTCTAACCCCTCCACAGTCAGTAGTACGACTTCGCCCTCAGGCTTTGAGTTGCTGCTTTTAGTCTTACCGTTCTCCAATCGACCTACCTGTCATGGTAGAACCTACAGGAACATATATTCCAGCCAATATAGCTTGGTTGAGTCATCACGATAGGCAAGCCAAACCACCACGTCAAAGTAACAACTACGTTCGGGTGATCATTGAGCAGTAATCCATGTCATATTTGTCCTGGTATCTACTATAAATCACTTAGCATCACATATTTTATTCATTCAAGAGTTTTACACTTTTTCAAATAAACTTACTATTATTCATTGTTCAAATTCATAAATATGAAAGAATGATTTATGGTTATAGTTTAATCTTTGAGTGATTTGTTTTTCCGAAAGAAAAGATATCTCTGTACTTTAAGACTAATTTCTCTCCCATAAATCTTTTAATATTAGATTAGATCTAGTTATTCATCATCTATTCAAACAATGGGAAATAAATCAATATTAAAATCCAAATCCAAATCCAAATCTGAAATATCATCAATGACATCAAGAATTAGTGATCCTGATTATTTTATAACTCATGGAATGTTTATTCCAATGAGAATAATGGTAAGTAGTTGTTGTTTATTTTTATGTGAAATTTATCAAAATCTTAATAAAAACTAATGAAGTATTAGTAAGTTCTGTTGTTGTTGTTGTTGTTGTTGTTTCTTTTCATTTTCCATCTTGAACTTAACAACAGTCAACACTTCTAATTTATTATAACTTGTGACCTGTGTGCCCTGTTAATGTATAACGTAATGATACCGCCAATTAGACAGCAGTGAATAATCGATCGGACCAATGACACGTAAAATCCGTACGAGCAGCAGTCTAGAGTACTTATCTCAATACATAGTGCCCGCAGTGTCGAGTCACCTAGACTGGTGGCCACATTGCAACATGATCGATAGCATTCGATCTGCACTAATAAGGACTAGACAAGCATGACATTGATCACCACCCAGTGATCAATCAATTGAGAGTACTTATCCGTCCTGCTTCGTGCCTAGCGCAGCCAGTTAAGTTTAGAACGCCAATCTCAGCCTCTACGATATGAATCATTATATTTCAAACATACTGAGTTTATATACAAACCAAACAGACTACATCGTACCATAAAATAGGAAACATCATTTGTACAAGATTGAGCCCAAAGTGGCTGTGAATGGGGGATGTAATAATTGATAGACAGGTCATAACTCAAGAAGGCTAAATCGTATAATAATAGTTCATAGGTCAAAATAAAGCTCATAATAAGAGAGACATGGATATGAATAGTTTAGTCATTTAACAATTATACGATAAAAATATACGTATAGTATTCGTCCATAAATGGATCCCAAAAGTTACCATTCATTATGCTTATCGGGAAATAATATAATTACTCATCTCACAGTCAGTTCAAAGATTCTGACAGTTTGAATTAAATATTCTGCCGATTAGAACTCATTTCAAATTGGTGGAGATTTGTGGGCCAAGTGGATGATTTAGATAGAGTTTTATTCTCTTAGTTGCATGGTTTGGTCATAGAGCTTTCGTTGTTCTCCTGAACAATATCATCAGCACAAACTCCAGGTAGAAGTGAAAAGTTCAAATTTCTTCACATATGACTCACAGTTTGTTCTGTAGACCCCGATCTTGATTGGTTATTGTTGAGTGTTAATCATCTGTCATTTTTTTTATCTCTTTATTGTGATTGTATCTGCCTTCGATTTGATTTTTGGTCTTATATTTGTCCGTGATTGTTCGAGTTAGTTGATAGATTTGATCGATTTCAATATGTTTATTGATTGCTGATTGATCTGAGCCCCAAGTTTCTGAATATTCACTGGTGTTTTTAGCATTCTCGCTATCCACTGTTTCAGCATTTTTTAGTCGAATGTGTGTTCAAAGTTGTCCGCATGTATTGATATAAGTAAAGACATGTTATAGCGTTTGAAGGCTAACTGACGTTCATGCATGCAAAGATTAAGGGAGAGTTCACTTTGTCCGATGTAGTATAAAATTCTCAACCTTACAGTATTACTAATACAGTTACTAGCAAAATTTGTTCAATTCTGACTAGAATCCAAGTTAATTGCTTTGAATTCGATCATTAATTCGTGCTTACTATTATCTTTCTGGTAGTGCAAAACAAGACATTCATTTCGAGATCTAACAGTTTGTTCTCTAAGCAGGCTTATCTAGAATTTGAATTCATTATCTAGCATATTTGGTCTAAACATCCACGTTCATGTTTGAAACAAATCTGGTTTTCTCGAATTCGCTGTTCATGTGCTTTATTTTTACATCGAAGTATTATGAAGTTTGATATTTTAGCGTTTTTTAGCGAGTTAGTTTTCTACAGGATGGGGTCGCTAACCCCATACCCAACCCTCCTCCTTTATCCGGGTTTGGAACCGGCAGTAGCCCCCGGAGGGACCCCAGGCGGAGTGTCTGATATTTTGGACACTATATTAATTACACTGACTCCTCTGTGATTAAAACCAGTCATATGGAATTGTGTTTAGTTACCAAACTTGCTAAGATCTCAGTCAGTCTTACAGCTCAAGTTGGACTACTAACTTTAAAGTTGTCAAAGGGTAGATCCATTAGACCCTGCTGCTTCACCTTGCTTTAGATTCCGCTTCACTTAATCTGAACACGACAATTATCTCTGTGCATTCGTATTGAGAATTTTAAAAAAAAACTGTACTACATCGTACGTTGTTACTAAGTAACTGACTATTTAACTTTTGACATTGATCAAAATGTTAAAAGATGTTATACACTCGAACAAATTCATACAACACCCAACATTCGGATCTGATGTGTTGTCAGTCGTAGGAATAGAATTTGTCTTCAAGTCATTTAGCAACAAGTAATGACAATAAGAATATCTACATATGTATTGATCCTGCTAAATTCTCTGACTTGAATCGATTAAAGTGAAGCTTTCATTGTATACCTAAATACATACATACATATGAATATAATCTTATCATAATGTTAGCAACCATTTACTGATCATTATAATTACAAGTGATTCCCGTGTATTGTTTCATAGTTGAATTCATGATTTAATTTAAGCTAGACCAATATTGAAAACCTATAGGCGCTGAAACGCCCTTTCATCCTAGTATGAGACTCCTCATCCGCGACCGCACAGGCATGACTCAAATCCACAACCTTCAATTTCGCGTGCGAACGCTTAACCTGTAGACCATTGAGCGGGCATCGTATCGTCCATATCTTTAGGAATCGAGATCAAGTTAACTGGTTTTTCTTATTTATAATTAATATGTATAATCTGAAGAAACTTTTAAGTACGATCTAATGGTGACTGATGATTGAATCAATAAAATGAATTCTTACTTAATTTGGATTTTAATTAACTTGAAGATTGCAAGTTGATATGTTTCGTTTATGTATTGTTTTTAATATCATTTGAACTATTGAAATCACTATAATATCCACAAAAACTCCTTCTGATATTAACCAACATATGCTCACTAGTGACTGGCTTTAAAAGGTATTTCATGGAGTTCTAGTGAGAAATTGACCAGTGGAGTTCAAACGTGTCAGTTATGAGATAGTAACTCACTGAAGACAATGGTGGATGTGTCACTCAATTTGATGGATTAGTTGAAGTTAGACATTAACACCATTGGATACTAGAAAGTCCGGTGTTTTAGTGGTTAAGCGGTCACGCGAGAGACTGATAGGTCCTGGGTTCGCGATCTAGCAAGGTAATTTGGTGGATGTGCACTACTGAGGAGTCTCACAATGTGACGAAACGGCTCTCCAGTGCTTCCAGATTTTTCATGCTGATCTAGCTTCAATTGACTGATAATATCAGTTATTGACTTTTCATAATTGTCATTATTGTTTATATTTGTTTGTTTGTTTGTTAGCAATCTATTTCATCACAAACGGTAAAACACAAAAAAGTATCTTGTCTTCCACGGAACACTTTTAGTTGTGGTCCAATTTTAAAACGTTCCCATAAACATCATCATCCTTCATCTATTGATGATACATATCAATCATTATCTAAACCATGTAGTCATGATATTAGTGATAAATCCATTGAAATTATTGGTAGAACAATAACATCAACACCATTATTAACAACAACATTAACAAATTCATCTAAACCATTAGATATTAAGAATAATCCAAATATACTGATATCACATTGGAATGAATTAGAGACAAGTCAACAGAAATTACCTAATATATCAATGTCTATGATAAAAGATTATGAACATTATCCAAATAAATCTTCATCTCTATCAGTTTCTTCAACAATGAATAATGAAAATGATATAATATGTAATGAAAAACAATCATTATTACATGAATATAATAATAATAATAATAATAATAGTATTCATCAATTACCACAGAGTTCCACAATAACAAGGACCATCACCCCCGCCGCCGCCGCCGCCGCCGTCACCACCACCACCACCACAACAACAACAACAAGAAGAAGTCGTTCATCATCCTCAACATCATCATCTTTTTCATTTACAAGTTTTCATTCACATCCTTATTCTAATGAAAGAATTCCTATAAAATCAAGAAAAATGAAATTTCATTCACGTTTTCTTAATTTATTTAAATCTAATTTTAAAAAATGATCGATTTTTTAATTGTTTAGTCTTATTATTTTGTTGCGATTATCATCGTTGTTGTTGTTGCTGTCATCGTCGTCGTCGTTACCATTATTGTTGCCATGACTCAACTAAGAGAAAAAAAACAAAAGAAGAATAGTATAAACAACTAGTTTCATTGTGTTTAATTCATGATAAACTATGTGTGTGCGTGTGTGTGTATGTGTGTCATTTTTCTTTTCTTTTTTTTCTTTTTTTTTTTAATTGTCATACAAGTACCTGTGATGTTCCTTGATTGAATTGATTTTTTTTTGTAATGTGTGCTAGTTTATTACTTAATTATTCAATCATTCATTTACTCAGTTGATTTCATACTGTTTTACACATAGATAAACATTTTCTAGTTTATTACATTATTGATTTACTCTTATTATGATTATTATTATCTTATTTTTCTGCTATAATATATACATTGATCTATTGAAAAGAAAGGAGGGGGGGTACTCTTAAATGTGTACAGTTCTCTTCTTTGTTTCTTATATGAAACTGGATATATCGATTATCACTGTTGTTATTGGGTGTTGTTGTTGTTATGACTTATTGTGTACTTGATCTGATACATTTTCGATCTGCTTATCATCATTTTTGAAAACTGTAAACATTGTATTATGTAATAGATTACAGATATATGATAACAAAATATACAAATTCAATGATTTCATTATTAGATGATTCTATTTTTTTGGTTTTATTTTTGTTGTTGTTGTTCTTGTTGTTGCTGGGGTATATGAACAGTTATTTATTTTAAATGCTTCTACATAGATGAGTATCATGTGAATTCATGCATTTTTGAGTTGTTTTTTTTCTTTTCTATCCAACTCAATCGTCATGGTTACTATGAGATATAGTTATTACATAGTTACTGTGTGTGTATAACTAAATTGCCAAAACTCTTGATAGCGCCATTTCTATCATTTCATAATTGATTGATTGATTGTATGAAGAAGGGGGGGTGTGCTAGGAAAGTGTTCTATATTTCACAGCTTTTGCTTTCAATTATATATATATATATATATATGTTACTTTAATCTTCTTCCTTTTTTCTTCATTTATTCATCCATTTTCATAATATTTCACGAATTTATATTTTATTGTTTAAATAATGTTTATAGGCATAACGATTAGAAACTACATTGTTTCTTCTTTATACTTATGATCAATGTCACTTTCAATGTTTTACGGTGTTAAAGCGTGTAGCTATGTCGTTTTTTGTTTTGTTTAATGCTTACATCAATTATGTGTATCTGTGTTTGTGTATCCGTGTGTGTGTGTGCGTGTGTGAGATCTTGATCTGTTTTTTTTCTCCTTAGTTAAACATTGACATCAGATCATTGTTATGTAACAGTTTTAGGCTGTGAATATAAACATTTGTCATCATCATTATTGTTGTTACTTATTCTTGTCATCATCATCATCATTTCATTTTCATTATTCATTTCATTCGTTCAGATTCAGTAAATAAATAAATAAATATTTTCTGGATATATTGTGTGTTTTTATCAGAATGGGGTTTTGTGGAGATTTTAGAAATTTCACATATTGAAATCATGAGTCGATTGAAGCTAAACCACCATGGAAAACCTAAAAGCACTGGATGGCCGTTTCGTCCCAGTATGGGACTCTCCAATAGTGCGCATCCACGATCCCGCACCCTGCGAGATCCGAACCCAGGACCTACTGGTTTCGCGCGCGAGCACTTAATCATTAGACCATTGGACCGGCATCTAACGGTTGTTTTTTTTATAATTGAAATATGAAAAAGAGTAATGATTCCAGAGAAGTGAATGAATTCAAAACTGAAATCATAGAGATAATTTTCAGTTATGAGGTCGTGGAGATTGTCAAATTTGATTGAAATCATGAACCATGATTGAAAACTTAGAAGCATTGAACAGGTGTTTCCTACTGGCATAAGACTTCTTAACAGCGTTCATCCATGTTCTCGCATCCGAGATTCGAACTCTGGAGCTTTGTTTACGCATGAAGATGATCCCATAATGTTGTGGGTTGATTGAATCTAGACATCAACACTGTTGGATGCTGACACAGTGGTCTAGAGTTTAAGAGTTCGTGAGTAAGAGTGAAGGTTCTGCCCAATGCCGAGAAGTCGTATACTACGACGAAACGTTTAGGCTTTAAATCGTGGTCTAACATTGATCAGTTCAAAACCGTTCAACATAAGCAATTATAAGTAAACTACTTATTTATAGGGTGAATTTTTCTTCATCGAGTTGGTCAATTTGTTGAAAACTACTGTTTCGTTATATCAAAAGTTAATCATAGTAAGACACTTAATATCATTATATTGTTTAGTTAGTATCTTTGAAAATTGTGATCTTCTTCTTGTTAAGAGTTGAGGTTGACTTGAGTTAATTATGACAATAGAATAATCAATCTGAAAAAATTCTGAATCCAGTAGTAAAGTTCTCAACGTGAACGTTTAAAGTACTATGACGGCTCATTAGCATCAAAAAGAAGTGTGTTTTTTTAAATCGTTTAAACGCAGTTAACATGTGAAAGCTGGTCAAGAACGATGAATCGTATCACTACACAAGGTTATGAGAAAATTTCAAACGGTTTGTCGTCTATCTTACAACAAATGCTTGATATACAGTTGCAGTTGAATAGTGAGAGGGAGTAAATAACGTTCCTTCTGATGATCTCCACAAATTCATCTTAGATAAAACTGTGGAAGTCAAGTAACAGGAGAGTTTATGTATCTAAGATTATAGAGTATAGCACATATTTTCATCCGTATAAACTATGGATTTATATTCAGTAAACTGGAGATATGACTTAAATGATCAACAACTAGGAATCGGAAAACATTATTCGTTGTCTTATACATTAACCTTAATGTATAGTGGAAAAAATATCGGTCAAACAAGGATAGAACGGCTCTCAAGTAGGAATACAGGAGATGAAGAGTTCGATTCAAAACAGCAGTTGTGATAGTGCTTTAACATTGCAAGACAGAATATGCCAGTAATGATCACTTCAATATCCACATGAGTGATCCCCTATTCAACTAACATAAACTGTTAAGTGAACAGTAAGGAAGAACGACATTCAATGCAAGCCATTCTGTTAAATGGACGAACCGTTTCCTAACTTACTTACTATTCCCTTGTCCACTACTTATCACTGCACGAAACCATTAAATTGCAAGAATATGTACTCATATAAACGATCATGGAATGATCTTATATTATTTCTTAGAGAAAGTCATTTAGGCATATGTTATAGCTGGTTAGTTTTAAGTAGTATATAATTATATTCTTTTTGTCAAATACCTTTTAATTGTACGAGAGCGAAAGAAGATGTATCACGTTTTACAAAGACTACAGTGAATTATATATCTATTACGCATGAACCTTTATAGATAGCTATGATATTCTTTTTCAAAAAAAGGAGGTATTTGCATAAGAAATAAGCAAATAACATCTAATCCATGTCGGGTAGAGACAGGTATTTACCTCAGTACAATAGAAGGTTGTCGCGCAATTTCGTGGGTTGGTTGATGTTAGACGCTATCACCATTGGGTGCCGGCTCAGTGGTTCAGTAAGTTAAGAGTTCGCGCGCAGGACTGAAGGCCCTGGGTTCGAGTCCCGCGAGCGGGATCGTGGATGCGCACTGCTGAGGAGTCCCACGATAGAACGAAACAGCCACCCAGTGCTTTAATGTTTCCAAAGGTGATGGTCTAACATCAATCGATTCATGATCTCAATCAAAAAACAACATTATATTTTGCTTTGACTTTGTGCCACAAATTAATACAGATGTGTTTGGGCCCACTAATAGCTTTTTTTGTGAAGACTACTTTAAAGAAACTTGTATCTTCTGGGATCATATATACTCTATGATTTGAATTGTTTGACAAAAGCGCGGTTCATTTATGATGTCGTGTTCCTTTGAACATATGTTATCACAAAGATGTTTGGTCAGATATCTTTATGAATAATATCCTTTATACTTGTTCAATATTCAACAAACAACAATTTTTTTCTACTACAGAGTCCAACGATCGTATTGAAGATCATATTCATAGTGATTGAGTAGTCTTCACGGCTGTTTTAAGGACAAGAAATATTCTCATGATAATGTACTGGAACTTTGTCACTCTTTTCGTTTGTCTATCCTGCCTTTCAGTTATCCAGCTTCAAGTATGTGATCATCTATCAGGTGCGATAATCACAGTGTCACCTGAAGAAGCTGATATTAGTATATATCATAATACTTTTAAGAGCGGAGTTCTACTTTTATCAAATATATATATATATATATACCCTTGCGGGCCAGGGTAATTTTACATTGGTTTTCAGGAGGACCAGACACCATCCAAACTTTTACGTGACAACCCAAAGAGTACAGCTCAATCCCGTTTCCAGCAGAACCAGACACCATATAGACTTTAACGCTACAATCTGAACAGTGCAGCTCAATCCGGTGGCGCAACCACACAGGTACCAAGCACCGTGGTATAATAATAATGTTGTATGTTTACTACAATATGGAATTCTCAAAACAGATGACCTAGTGGTGTCCATATATAAATTTCACAATTCTGATTCATCGTAGTTTCGTATTTGATGCATAAAACCCTATATGTTTTCAAATAGGGAGTGATACAAGGTATATTGGTTGACTTTTCTTGTATTCTGATTCGAGGTTGGTAACAAAGGAGTTTTGCATAAGTCAGTCAACGTTAACATATATCTCAACTGAATCGTAAGATTTAGTGTTACTGATATGAGCGGAAGTTACAAAAGTGGATACATCTCTAACTGTTATGATTGTCACTGTATCTGCTGTGTCATGTAGTTGTTTTTTGTCGGAATTACTGCAAGTCAATTTCAGGACTCAGTGAATTACTATGATCCTGGCCTTCGCCGAATTTAACGTCGTTTTTGTCTCAACCTCTCATACAGAAGGTGACTTTTCAGTTTTACACCTAAACTCCTAGGACACCTTAAGCATTGGTTACTAAAACTCTAAGTTGACTATTTCTTTTTCCTTTATCAAGTCAAACGATATTCTTAAGGGAAAAGGCTTCCTCACGTAGATTTGCTGTCCTTATACAAGCAACATAATTTGGCTGATATAATACCAAGCCACAGCAAACCGAAGCACTTCACCCATTTTGTTTATCACAAACAAACTGTTACTTACCACCGAAATGTTGAATTATTTCAGGGAGTCTTGTCTTTAACACACAGTTTCCCCTCTACCTTCTGATTTACTTTTCTTTAAATTGGTCTAGTCTTCATAACTAACAACAAAGATTTTCCTCTGACCAAAGTTGTTTGTTTTCACTTGTTTTACATGCTAGAAGGATACCTTGAAGTTAATATATCCTAATGAAGATTAAACTATGAGTAATTCATACTCACAGATGCTTTTGGCTTGATCATGTATAATTGTTATTTCCTATTTTATGGTATCATACAATCTGATTTACTTGCAATATACACCATGTATATCTAAAATATGCAATACATACAGTAGAAGCTGTGTTCTAAGCTCAACAGGCAAAATTAAACGGAAAAACCAATCAAAACTCAGAGGTTAACTTTAAGCTGTTTGTAATCGTTAACGCATCATTGATTTGGCACAGTGCCAAGGATATTTACGTCGATGTTCTAATTGGCAATCATATCATGTGATATAATCAATAAAGTATAAGACACAACAAAAGTTGAAACTTATTACTTGTTATTAATGATATTCCATTTTCGATTGATGGTATTTGATCATTAAGTAAATACATCACTGTGTGATATGTCAGCTGACATTAGTTTTTATAGACCTTAGATACACTCTTGAATATGCTATAAAATCTAAACTTGTTTATTTCACATCTCTTATCATTAAATTCCTTATGGGACTAAATTATTTATGATGATGATGATGATGATGATGATGATGATGATGATGATGATGATGATGATGATGATGATGATGATGATGATGATGATGATGATGATGATGATGATGATGATGACATAAGAACTACCACTGAAGTATATTGATCTATTTTATGTTTATCGATCAAGAACAATTGATTGATGAGAATTTTACAACATTGATTACGAATACATGTAAATGTAATGACAAACACACACACACACGCACACAGCTAGATAGATATGTCTCATTATACATGTCTGTTTTACGATCTAGTTACCAAGACAAATTGATCAATGGAATGTAACATGTAAAATATTGGAGAAAAAAATGATCTCAGTTATTCTTGGGTTGTTATGTTGTTGTCAAGTTCGATTCATGTTGATAATTCTTTAAAGCAGAAAGGGAATTATTGATTTATTGAATTGTTATTGTTTCGTATTTTGACATGGTCGAAGGTCATGGGTTCGAATCCCATAAGTCGGATGATGGTTACTCACTGATGCGAAGTCATCTCACAATAAGACGAAACGGACGTCTAGTGCTTACAAGTTTTCAATGATGGTCTAACATCAATC